TATCTATCTATCTATCTATCTATCTATCTATCTATCTATCTATCTATCTATCTATCTATCATCTATCTATCACCTCTCCAATTCTAGATTCTGTGTATTATCTACAGGCACATTAGAAATGATAGGATAGATTCAGAGTTGCACAGACTGTAGGACAACTGATTTTGCTAATTTACCATTCCCATACATTTCTTGAAACCTGTTCAAGATTCTTACGGATAAGGTAACATAGAAAACATTTGTTGGCTACCCAAGATTTAATTTTTAATTTTTTGCTCTGTAGCAGTTTTTTTTTTTTCACTTCATAAGAGGTGGTTGGATTTCACTCCTTTTACTCCTATTTACTTCAAATGAGTTCCCTCCACAATTGTTTGTACATCCAATCATAACATCATCCAATTCCCATTCTTCATTTCACCTTGTTTTTTAGACCAACCTTTTCATTTATGGGACAATCATTGTGTTAAGATAAATTGACATGCAAAAAAAAAAAATAGTCAAATGAAATTACCTAGGCAGAATCAACCCATGCTTTTATTTCCATTGCATATAAAAATTTCATATGAAGGTATCTGACATACAGTACTATTCCATAGGCTGTAAGAGAGGCTAAGAAACCATTGAATTATTTGCAATGTTCGCATTCTCTGTCATTCTAAAGACATACCCAAAGGAAACAAAACCAATTGAAAACAACAAAAATATTGTTCAGGAATTCTGTTGTAATAGTGTCCCTTTTATATTGTGTAAAACAAAAGCAATCGTATTCCTTTGGGCCAGGGCTGCTAAAATCTACAGTTTGTGTCAAGGAGGTGGCTCTGTTTTTCTTGAAAAAGAATCTCTCCTTTCACCAAGCAATCACATGCTACATGGGCTGGGCACGGGTGGAATGGAGCTGAGGTATCTGAACTACGAAGCTTCATGTCCAAGAGTAGCAGCGAGACGTATTTCAGGCCATTGATGATTTTGTCTAAAATGAACGGTAGTGTTTCAATGATGTGGAAAAGCTACAGACATTCTTCTGCACATTCATTCATACAGAAGTAAGCTTTGGCTGCCTGAAAGCCTTACTGGAGGGAATAGGTCCTGTTTTACAGCGCAATATCAATACTGGTCTAATCTGGAGAGCCACTGTATTAAAGCTAATGGGTATAATCTGCCTATATGAATTGCCTTGGTATGGACAGAAAGTGACTGCCTTGTTTCAGTGGGGTTGAGAGCAGTAGCTGCCATTAATTAGTGCTCATTCTTGTTGATTAAGTGTCGGTAGCATTTTTTTTCTCCTTTACTTTCTCTAAGAAAGGTAAAGAATCCCTCAAGAAATGCTTTGAAGGGGAATGTATATTCCTTTAGAGAGAAGGCATTTATCCAAAAGGAGGTCAGAGGCTGGCAGGGGCATCCACACGGTGTCTCAAAAGGAGTCAGGATGGCAGTATCAGTTGCACAGTCTCTTGCCATCTTACCCCCCGTTTTTTTTTTTAAAAAAAGAAACCTTCTCCCCGAAACTCAGCTTCAGTGGATCCTAGATAGTGGAAAAGAGAACATTCCTATATGGGACAGAACTGGAGTCTCTTTATAAAAAAGCATATTAGAGATACGCCCAGCCCATGTTTGCTACGACCTTTCTTCCAAATGCAGCAAAACAGAAGAAAAAAAATTGTTTAAAGTTAAGGCACAGCCCTGGGACCAAAGACCTGCAGCTTTTAATTTATATATCTATGTATTTTATCATTTTTCTCAACTCTTCCATAAACAAACTCTAAAGTGATATAGGATATATTACACGACGGGAAAAAATGTACAAGGGGATGTATACACAATAATAATTCTCTCACCAAGAGTTTCCAAATGTAACAACACCATCCCAGCAAGGATGATGTTATAATAAGAACTTATAATTTACAATTAACATTACATTATATACATTACAATAAATACATAGCTGTAAACAGAGACAAACAAGACTTATTACAAGTAAGGTCATTTGGTGAGAAAAAAATATGCATGGCACAAATAAAAAATAAATAAATGCATTGTAAAATAAATGACGATGTTGTAAAATTCATTTCATTCTCAAGTTTTTTTTAAAAAAAGCTTTTGAATGTGATTTGTTCTACCTATATTATCTGATCACATTTTTTTGAAACAATGACATGAAATCAGAAATCAAAAGGAACAGACACAACATTACCAAGAACAGTAACTTGCAAGCTAAAGTATAAATGCAAACTCATATTCCTCTCACCTTTTCCCCATTCTCCCACCCTCCTTTTCAAAACTGTACCAATGCTTTGCATTTTACTTGTGGCAAAAACAGAGAGCACATGTAAAGTCACCTTTTAATATGTTTTTCAGCCATGTGTGTGCTTTCACACACTTCAGGCAAAATAAGAACAAAACAAAACAGAAAAGATTGTACAGTGCATTCAATCCCTGGCTCTAAAAATTATTATGCTTTCTGTCATTTGATTGTCCATGTGTATGGGTGTATTTTTACACAATACACAATACAGACTCCCATTTTCTTTGAAAGTTTAATCTTACAGTGTGCACTCTAACAAGATCCAGCAATGAATGAAACTTCCTTGAAATTAATATTTGGGAAATCTTGTTAAAAAGCTAAGATATTTATGTATTTAACAGTTCTTTCCTCAGAACTTGCTGGCTCAAGCCAGAGAGCACTCCACCTTATTGATTAAACTATTAGTGCAGAAAAAATACCCTTCTATGTCCACTTAGATTTTTGGAATTTATATTGCTTTTTTTTTCATTAAAATTCCAGGCACTCTTGGGGACTGTACAAATGTCAAAGTAGTGAAGGAGAGGCCATGAATTTATACTAACAGCAATTTGATGACATTCTTCCATTCATTTCCCTAGTTGGTATTTTTTTTTAACAAAAGGCATTAAGAACTAAGAAAGAGTCAACATATTAAAACAGTTTTCAAAAATCCTCATTAGTCAGTGCTTATCGTAAGAACTTGATATACAAAACAAGTCTTAATTCTAAATAAATGGAGGAATAGTTCCATTGATTACAATGAGACTAAAGCCTTATTAATTTAGGCTCGATCCAATCCAATCCTATTTTTCTTTTCATTGCAGCAAAACAAAGACTCCTGATTCAAACCCAGTCCAACAAAGTTGCTTCGATACTGGGATTACAATAACTCTGTGCAAAGCTTTTCCATACAGTGAGGAGCTGTTTTATGCAAATGTAGGTTAAAGATAGAGGATTTATGTGGTCAAGGAACTGTACCATGTTGATAAAGCAGCATGAATATGTGCCCACTAATGCATCTGGCAAGAGAAAGGCAGCACAGGTTGGATGAGGAATGGCCCATTTCAATCCTCACAGACATCAATCTGCATTAATGTCTGCTACTCTGCATAGATTTTCTATAGATTATTACAGCTGTATTCTACAGCCAAATTTAAAATTAGATATGCAAATCCCATTTTAATTAACAGCCATAATGGCATATCATTCTACAATGGATGGCAGTCTACAGTTTGCTCTGCAGTGCTTTTTTTCCTCACAACAGCACAAACCCTCTCAAAAAGTTTTTGATGTAACAAAAAATTCCTTAGAAACAGTTTATTCCTGACCTGTTTGCCCAACTGCAATCTGAAGTACTGTACAATAACAGTTGTCCACATGCCCCCAACCAAAGTATTTATTTGTTGGTCTACTAAGTCATTGGGGCAAACGACTACTACAATGCTACTGTTCACTCCACTAATCTGTCTCATGGAAAAGGAAATATTCAGTTAGCAAATAAAACATTTGTATATATAACAGGAAAGTCACACTTATACTGGCCATAGATCTGAAAACCTCAGATCCAAATTTATTCATACTATGAGTATCCAATAATTTTGTTTTAGAGCATTGTCAAGTTTCCTTGCACTATGATTTGTCACTTCAACCTTCTGAACCCCAATGCATCTACTATAGGAAGATTGAATCCTAATGGTCCAAATTCCTGCCACCCCTCAATTGTTGCAACCCAAATGTTGGGGAACTGCTACTCTAGTGTTCCACTAGATTTCAAAAATAATTGTTTTGGTTGAGGGAAATTAACCCACAACCATAAACCTTGGATCTGCAGGACTAAGCTATCTGGGAGGCCAAAGAGCTCATAGCAGATAATATATTGCTGCTTTTGGACATTTACAAAGAAAAAAGACAGAAAACAAAGTGTTTTCCCACAATAGGAGACTGGGTAGGTAGGTGGGTGAGAGAGAATTAACAGAGCATCATATATGTATCATTGGTCTATAAAACAAAAGGCTATTTTATAACAGTTGAAGGAATTGCTATGAAAATCTAAGTGCAAACAAATATAAAATTTATCCAGTGTAGCATATACATGTACTGAAAACTTGCAAGTTACTCTTTTTTAGGGATAGGAGAAGAGGGAGGAAGAAAAAGCCACTGGCAGATGAAATTCAGAGGGTGCTGCATTCTTTTAAATATAATAACCCAACACATTTAATAATAAAAGTAAACTCTACAAAAAGATTTCTGTTTTACATATGATACAAAATGCAGACTTCAGTGCAACCATTAAGCTGCACCTTTTTCAGTCATGTGTCAGGAAGACTTGAAATTAGAAAAGTATGTGATTTCCACAGCTTCATCTTCCTACTGATTCATGTTGTATCCCGATATTTGAATACATTTATTTTCCACAAGACAACTTGATTCATTTGCTGGTCACGTTCTTTAGATTCTGGTGTTAATCATTAATCGTATGTTACTAATTGCCTCCTCATGAAATTAAAACCTAATACAAAACACACATATAATCTCACACACACACTCACGTTAGCTTTGGACCAGCCTTTACTCCTTTTGAAAAACAGCTGTGAGTACTGTCAGTCTCTCATCATGTCAGCCAAATTGAACTCTTAATTCAACTGTTCTTTGCAGATGTTTTCCTTCATTCTCTGGTGCCATGGAGATGAACAATTCTGGTCACACTAATCCTGAGTGCCGAACTAAGTTTTTGATCAACAAACAACTCTGGCAGATGACAGTGAGGCATGATCATGGTTGTGCCATATGATATGCACTTTGGAAACCATTTTCAGCTTTTAAAAACAGAAAAGGAGAGAGTATAGAGAGCTATGCACTTAGCATACTGTTACGTGTCAGGAGACCGTTCTTCTAGCACACAAGGTTCTGACTGATTCTCCTCTTCCTCCTCTTCTACCACCTCTTCTCCCACTTGCTCATCAAGTGGAATTTCTGTGGACTCTGAGTCTTGGGTGCAAAGTGTCTTGGAGTCACTGCAGCTGGTATCTTCTTCCACTTGACTTCCACTGTCCTTCTCTGTGTCTGATTCACCATCTTCTTCCAAGGTTAGTTCAAACTGAAATTTTTCAGTTTGTCCTTGTCTACCCTCCTCTTGGTCATCTGGTGCAGGAGAAGGACTCTGAGGGATTGTGCTCTGGTACCATTCGCGATTGTCCTCCAATGTATCTAAGATGTCTTGGGCATCTGGGTGGACAAGGTCTGCCCAGGTCTCCCAGAGAGGGTGAACAATGTAGTCTATAAAGCCCACCTGTTGCAATGTAGAATTAAGGACAGATGTTATTCTAAAGAAGGAAGGAATTAAGTTTATCACATTATTTATTAGAATTAACTTCACAAGAAGCTATCTTTTTTATTTAGTTCTTTTCTATATTATTTTTCTTTTTAAATGAAAACTTCAAATTAATCTTTCATTATTTTGTAGGCTTTAGTATTATATCAACCATTTGTGTAAAGATGACCTTGAGGGAAATAAACAAGAACCATGTTACAAGCAAAGAAATATTCCTTAAACCATGGGAAATGAGATAGTATTGGGAAGGAACTCACGTAGACTCCTCTCTGATTCACTGAGATATGAGAGGGAGCGGAGATAAAGTCTAATCACACTTGCAAGATTCTATTAGTATAGCCTTTTTAATATAATATAGTTCTTGTCTTCCTGTAGATTCAGTTTCCTGATCTCAACTATGCTGAATGGCTGACATCAATCAAGAATTTTTGCCTATTTCCTTGAAAAGCTTACAGGATTCTCTTAATCATCTATATTGATTTTTTCATCCGTCAATTAAATGATTACCTGTGATTTTTCTACAGATGCGTTGTGTTTATCACACATGGGACTTATTTCCATGCCTCTTTCTCTTTCTCGATCTCCCTGACGAAAGAACTCTTCCATTATTCTATCTGTCCATTGGCGATATAACTGGAGTGGCTTTGTTGGGTTACTTAGATCTGCACAGTGTACCATATTTTGTAGAACCTAAATTAAACAGGAAAAAAAATATTGAGAAAACTTGTGATGTTATTCTACTGGAGACAAAGCTCTTTTTCCATTTGCACATTTAGTGGGTGAGAAAACAGAAATCTTGAAAATACATGGAGTGCAAGGTTTATTCTGAACACCAGCAGGATGATATGTTGTGCGTTTTTCACACTGACAGTAATAGCTACCAATTATCTCACATCTATAGCTTTGCCTATATTAAAAGGCCAAAAATGTTGTAAGTGCAAGACTGATCCGTTATGAAGATATGTGGGAATTAATCAAGCCTGTTAGCCAACCTCAAGAGCAAGAACAAAACTTCAGACACTGACAGAATAGTCTAAATTAGGTCTGACCTGCAGGCTGCATTCATTTCATGAATGAAATTTCGAAAGCCAAAGTGCAGAGGTGGGTACTGCTTCATATGGAAATGTTAAAAATAATTTAAGAATTTAAGAATGAAAATGAATTTTAAAATTTTGATTAAATGCATGAACATTTAAAGTAATTCCAACCCTTCACTGATAAGTAGAATTTTGTGGATTAAGAAACATTTCAGTGAACAAAACCATCCAACCAACTAGCCAACCAAAGCAACGGATTGACTCTTCAGACACTTCTACTTGTTAGTGTAATGATTTGGGCAACAAAGTACAGTGGGGACATAGTGGATTGCACCTAATCTCTTGACAGTTTATATGTAGGCTCTGGCTGAAAAAAAATATATTTTTCTGTTTTTCTACTAATAGATATGGATATGCAGGTGGTCTGCACTGCTTCACTTGTAGCAGTGTTTCTGCTAGTTGAAAAGGCTGTGGTTAGCAGAACAAACTGATCAGTCAATGTAGATCAGCATCACTAAATGAAGAGTCAAGGAAGAGTGAAGTACCATTGTAAGATGAGGCACCCCATCAAGGAAGAATGCCCTACAAGCAGTCATAAGTAGGAAAATTTTTTGGCAAAATGTATGATGGTCAGTCCAAAAAGTCAAAACACACAGGTCATCTGAATGTAATGAGGTAAAGAAAGAAGATAATTTGTTTAAAACGCAGTGGATCTTACCTGAATCCTGTCTGAATAGTTATCAAGAAGTAGAACTCCAGAACTAGTTACTTTCTTGGTTTCAACCATTGTTTTCAAATCAGCCAACAGATTCATATGCTTAGACATGTCTGTGGCAAGCACCTTGGAAGAGAAACAAAAGATAAAGGTCACAATAATTGCTTCTGTTTTAAAAGCTATTACAGCTTGGTAAGGAAAATAAAGAGGGTTAGTAAAAATATCCTAATCAATAAATAGATCTTATGGAAACATAACTTGCATAAATCAGATATAAGACCTATTTTAAATTATTCCTTCCCCCCCTCCCCCAAAAATTATCTGGTACATCATTTTGCATTTGAGCTATAAGAAGAGCAGAAAAATGAAAGTAATATCAAATTGATCATGAAATGGGTCATTAAAAATAAATACATTAAAAACCATAAATAAACAAATAATGAATAAATAAAAACAACTCACAATGTCAATGACCATCTTTCTCAATGATTGCTTCTGCTTTTTTGTCAAGTTCTGGAAAATGTCACAATTCTCCTCCTGTAATAATTTGAATCCAACAGCCAGATGATGGTTTTCCAGGACCGATGAATCATTATACATCAAGGCAAGTTCAGAGTCTGCAAGAAAATCCAAATACAGCACTGTTAATAAAATTTGCATTTTTGTTTGTTTGTTACAGATGTTATATTTTTGGGTCTTAACATTATTAGGGCATCCAAAACATCCAACTGCATTAGGAAAAAAAACCCACCACTATGGCTAATTGCAAATCAAATCTGACAACAGACTTTCCTCCAATTCCAATTCTCTCCCCAGTTTCTAGAAATGGTTTAAAGATTATAATGGCAACAAAATAAGAGCAAATTAGGTCTGATGATGAACCAATGTCTGTATGGTATGATTCCTTAATCATTTGTTGGTAGTTTGCTTAGTTTCGTTTATTGTCATTGCATTTTGTACAACAAAATCAAACACCATCTTCAGTGCACATCAAAACCATGAAAATAAACACAAACACACACTGATGATGACTTGAATGTAGCTGAATATTAACATTCTGCTAATATGTCTATGGAGATTCTCAGTCATCCAGGTCATACTTGCCCCAAAGGTCCCTTTTCAAGAGGCAACTGGACTTTCTGGTTTTTGTTTGAAGACGTTTCACTTCTCATTCAAAAAGCTTCTTTGGCTCTGACTGGATAGTAGTGAATGGAAGGATTTATATTCCTTGCAGACAGCAAGTCATTGGCAGATAGTCATTGGCATTTTGCAAATAGGCTGCGGCCCGGTAATGGGCCATAGCCCACAGGTTGGGACCCCGTTTTAGATAACATTATTTGTGATTGATCTGCCATTCTTTAAGAATAGTGGTTTATATTTCCTTTTCCTTGGCTTAAAGTGACATACAGCCGACCATGCTGGAATATTGGTTTTTCCAGATTAATCAGCACATTCTCCTTTTCTCCTTCTTTCTGCTTTATATAAAGTGAGAGGAAAGCATGACTGCATTGGGAACTGTGTATGCTAAAGAGGGACAACTTCGCCTTTTGATAAATCGACTGCAATTCTTGGAATCATGACAATGTCACTTTTGAATGCACTAAAAGTTTGTATTTGCTACAGTGAGATGCCTGTGGAGTCCTTTCATCATCGTATGCGTTCCTTTTGCAAAGCTTTAGAAGATCCAAGTTTCTCATTAAAATGATGGCAGATCTTCAACTCCATGTTATGTAATAGCAATCCAGAGAGTTCACTTGAATCAAGGAGTCTTTGGGAAACTGAGTAGCATCAGCTTTGTGATAGAATCTGCACATGAAGAAATGGTTGTGGGAAGAGTTTTGATGACACAGAGCTTTTCTAGAAAGAGGCCCGGAGGAAGAGACTGTGCAGTCCTGACCTGGATGGGGGAGGGGAAAAGAAGTCCAGGGCAGAATGTGTTCTCTCCTCTAGCTCAGTAATGATATAATGGTGAATTTTCCTTTGAGTAAACACAAGATTCTATCGATTCCTCATTCAAATGGCTTTTTTTGGCACCAAAGGGTGACTTTGGAAGAGGCAGTTGTATTATCTCATGTTCTTCCTGAACCTGTTTGCAATAGGTTCACCACTGCTATATAAAATGAGAAGATCATTAGGTCAGAGGTTGCAAATTGCCTATCCTGACCGTTTCCCTTCATATTGCAGAAGCTGTTTTTTCCCCCCCAAGGAATAGGAATTTATGACAGCGAGGGCAGACTTTGGCCACGGTACCAACTTCAGTAGAAATGTTACATTGTGCAAGTTGTGCATTTTGCCTTGTTGTTTCTCTGTTGAAATGCTGATGTTGAAAGCAGATGTAGTCATAGTGAGGAACTCTTGCAGTAATTAGTGTCTGCCAAACATTCCAAAGTTGATCTTCATTTTCCTCCTCTTTATTTCTTGTTTCCTCATTCTGTACTTTTATTCTACAGAAATACAGCCCTTTCATCATCTGTTTCTTTATCTATCGCACTTGGTGCCATGTCACAGTGATGTTTGGTATCATCTCTTCAACATGATGTTCCCTGTCTATTTCTAACTTGCATAATTATGTTGATTATATTTATTTTACAATATTATACATTGCCATTCTTACCTCAGAACAGTGTGACCTAAGTTTAGGGTAGAACTGATCTACCTGATCGCCAGTGGCTAAAGGAGGGATCAGGCTACACTCAGTTTCATAGTAAGAAGCAGTTGAAAACAAGATGGGCAAGGACTGAGGTACATAGTAGCTGATTTATTTGTCTGACACCAGAGAGGGTCAGTTTCTATTCCACCTCAGGCATAGCAGCTCACTTGGTGACTTTTCCCATCTACTTTACACGTTTGTTAAGAAATATAAAAGAATGGACCACTATGAATAAACATACATAGTGGTGCATTCTCCTGAATGGAATGTGCATGTTGTATGCCATAGCAGGGGGCACATAAAGCAATAAAAATAACCATGTCTTTCTTCAGGAACTTGTTTCCTTAAGAGCTACACAATTAATCAATTTTTTGCTAGTAGATAGTGGAAGGAATGATGGATTGAGAGACTGGCTGGGAAACTGTAGCAGAATTTGAACAGGATGATTATATGACTGCAGTAACAGCCCAGCAATACAGCAGTAGTGAAGCAGCCATAACTTCCCTTAATTTCATTCTCTTCGGAAATACTGTGTCCTGATTTTGGACGCATTATGTAAGTTAGCTCATGTAAGATACTTTTGTTCAAAAATTGTTCTCTATGATTCACTACTTCACTCAGGTAAAGGTCGTGACATCAAGAGTTTTAATAGTATAGAGATTCCAAATGGGCCAGAAAACCCAAGAAAAAATATAGAGCAGTGATATTCAAGCTCAGCAAGATTTGTGGGGTTCAACTCCCAGAATTCCAGTCACCACACCTATCTTAGAGTTACCAAAGTTGGGAAACATTGACCTAGAGGAATAAGTAGCATTCAGGGACCTCTATCAGAGGAAAACTCTCTTAGATTTCCCAGTTGCGTTAAATCCTTAGACAAGCAACAATGGAAAGACCTTGAATCTCCAGTTGACTGAATGAACAGGAAAACCCATTCCTCAATTTCTCATTGTGACAAAGGGACACTGGACTAGAAATATACTTTTGATGACTGACCATATGATGTACGCAGAAACTCTACATATCGAAAACCACCTTAAAAAAACACACCTCCTCTTTGTTGCTTGTCCAAGGAATTGCAAGTATATAGATAATCGGTAGAGCCAGAAATAAACTAACTTACTTGTATTGATAAGAAATTGGTTTGAAACCCCAGGATGGTCAACATCATGTATTGCACTGGCAAAAATAGCAGCTAGAATCTCCAAGTCTGTGAAAACAGCCTAAAAGAAAGAAAGAGGAAATATTTAGGAATAAGCTAGTGGAATAAAGAAGAATGACTAATGGAAAAAAGTGTTTTAAGTGAAAGAGAACTGCATTGGTCCTCCCTTTTAAGTTTGAATCTATTTTTTTCTGGTGGGGAGGGAATTAAAGTCCAATTTACAAAATGTTTTTATAATAAAGTTCAAATGTTGGTAACTTCAAATTAAAGTTATTTTCTCAGTAACTAATCATTTGGCAAGCTTAAGAGTATTGAGAGACATGAAAGTCTGTTTCAGAAGTATGTTTTTTAATTTCACCCAGATATTGCAGACTTACCTCCAAAGCTGGGGTTGACAAAAGCACATGTGTTGATTGTACAACATCAGCAGCATGTATATTGTTGTGATATGCCACATCTGCATGATAATGGTCCTCCAGCGTCATCAAGTAGGTTATTAACATGTCTGGTGGAATTTTAAATGTTTTCAGCAAATCCCGTTCCTGCAGTCACAGAGAAAAAAGTAACTATTTATTCAGTATAGGTAAAGCCTTCTGGAAAAGAAAAGGGAAAAAGTTGTTTCCCCTTAAACATACCTGAAAGATTGTATACATGATGACTGTCAAAGGACGGTTCCCAGATAATGAGGCTATTTTAAACACTTGGAGGCCCCATTTATTTACATCTTCTAGCTCCTGATATAAAACCAAACAAAAAACAGAAACTGTTACCCTGGCTTTGCAATAGAGTTTGCACAAAACATCTGCTTTTGACTTTCTTTGTATTTTAGATCTTAGCAATCTATTTTTTCAGATTTCAAATAAGTAGTAGAAATGTTGCTCCAAACTGCATGTGCTGAAATGCCTCAGTATCGCCCTGATGCTCTGATACAGCAAAGAGCATTAGGAAATATTCCAGGGAATGATACCACTTTACTTTTATCTTATATTTTGAGAATACACTTTTAAGTTTCAAAATAATCAAAATATATTAATTTCCTGCAAATATTTTTTGGGGGGGCTTTCTTTTGATTGTAAACATGGCACCTGGATTTTTGTTCAATTCTATAGATGGTTTTATTTTTTAAAAAATCCATTTGACTTCTGCAGTTACACAGTTCTGATGCACAGTGTGCTAGTGAAAAATTGAATCAGAATCTTTATTTGGCTCTACAAAATCAGTGTGTGAGATTTTATATACATGACATATAAATTCATATAGACATATGAATGTATGTAAATATTTGTGAATGTAATGTGACTATATTTGGATCTGAGTTGCAGATATTAAATCAGCTGGAAATCAACATTACTCTTACCTTGGCTAGAATATCTTCTTGATCTGTTTTGACTCCAAATTTGGGGATGCTGGAATTTGTTAAGCTGGAACTGTGCGTCAACTTTTTTACTCCACTGATTTGAGACATAGGCCGTTTCTTTTTCTCTTTTTCTTTCTGTGTTGGAGATGGGATTTCCACTTCATGCTGCTTGTCTTTTAAAGAAGAGGGGGGAAAACTCATCTATAATCTGTTTGTAAATTACAACTACCTTGCAAGAAGTAGCATTAAGTGCAGCATAGCTTTTCATAAAAATGTGCTTCAAAATAATTTTGAAATAAGAAAGAAGCAAGTGAACACCATCAGACCTATTTACTTGTTCTTTTTCTAGTTCCGCTTTAGCTATGAAAAACAGCTGGGTGGTGGTACTCTTGGGTCAGTTACTCTCCCTTTCAGCCCAACTTTATTATTGTTAAGGTTATTGTGGGAACAATAGAAGGAGCAGGGCATATTGGACATGTTTGCCATCATGAGTTATTTGCAAAAAGTAAATAAATAAATAACTGCATGAAAATCTAGGTTCAGGACCACTTTATAGATTTAAGCAATCTTACACTGGTCATTTACTCTCTCAGTAGTGCAGCAACATTGACTTTACATACAGCTACAAAATCTAATGCTATTGATATGAAACAGCTTGAATATTGTAAACTAAAAAATGAAACAAGGAGCCATTAGGTTCTTAGGTCCTAATAATTTCTCTTCAGTTCTGATTCTTAGGAAATGGTTTATATCATTTTATGCTTTCCTAAATCTTGAGTGATATTACCCCATTATTGTAGTTTGAGTAAAGATCCGACCTCAGTATTTCCCATGTCTCAAATCTAACCTATCACAAGATTGTCTCTGAAGTGCAGTGATAATTATAAGTTGATGAATAAGGTAATTATTTTTACAAATGCTAATCCAAAAATATTTGGCTCACAGTACAATTTATCTCGCAAATAACAGATTTGCAATATCTGTCAACAGATGCTTCTCTTTTTGTTGCTAGTTTGGGAACACTGCTGAAAATGAGTAAACTAATTTTGTGCTAGTGTATTGAGCATAACTAGGACAAGATTTACTCCAATTACACTGACAAAAATAGGAAATAATAGGTGATTGAGCATAAAAAGTTGGCATATATTTTATGAACAAATGAAAATAAATAATAAAGGTGCTACAATATCATATTTATTTAAAAGGCAAAATACTATTGTAGATAATAACCTCAAAAACTGTATCTAACTGGAAAAAATCTAATTGTTGCTATGAACATGCTGCAAGAAAGATCACAGTCATTGTCTTGTTTTCAACTAACCTTAATTTGTTTCATTGAAACCTAGTTTCAACTATAGTCTATTCAAGCAAGTCAAATTCAAACTTGTTCCTGACCTTGATTTATTCTCTCCTCCCCAAATGTTTAAATATACTGTAGTTTCAGTTCAAATAACTAATAGTAATTAGCTGTAAAGAGTAGACAATGTTTTTGATAGCCTTCCTTTTGAGCAGATATAATGCACACATTCAAGTAGTACCTTCAAACAAGGCAATGTGATTAATGCTTATTAACTCCCTGTGAGTTAATGAGCTCATCCTAGGTTGATCTGAGGTAAACAAAGGCATTCTCCGATCCTGTGACATAAGATTTTTTGCATACGCATATTGAACAGAAAATTAGGCTCAGTTCACTATCCTAGCTCTTAATCTCCACTGCCACAATTGATGGCAACAAACACAATTGTGCTATCTCTAACACTAGATTGTTCTCCACCAATCTAATGGTCTCATATGTGCTGTACTATTACTCCTAAATATTCCTGACAGTCAGCACCATTATATATACTTTCTAGATAAGGTAGAGATAATTCAGGTTCCCTCTCCAAAAGTTCCTATTATGCAAATTAGGCAGAGAAATTAAATCTGGCCATGTATGTGTCTGAAATCTATTTAAGATCTTCAACTCAGATCAATGGTGGTTTTGTAAGATTATCAACATGGAACCAAAACAGCTTATATTATATAAGGAATCTATGTTAATTTTCCTTCACATAAAAGGGTCATTGCTAAATGCAGGAAAACAAAATAGTCTGCTTCAATCAGTTCTTTCTCAAATTCTTATTCTTTTGCCTAATAATATTGTATCATATTCTTGATGCTGTCAAATCTGTAAAACCATGTGATGAAATACCATTTTTTATTTGGAGACTCTTTTTTCTCCCTTTCCTTTAGATTAATGTTAACAAAAAAACCCATGATGCATGTACAAAATATTTAAGAACTGCATGCATGTTTCGGTTTAGAAATGGGGAAAGTCTATTGCCACATGTATGTATTACCACAGATCCTTCCTTTAATCTTTTAGATTAGGCTAGCATTTACTGGAAAAAGCAGAGAATTCTGATCCGATTGCTACAGACAAGTGAAAATGTCACCAATTTTCAGCTAGAGGCAACCGGCCCTTTCCTATTCTTTTACTGATCACCAATTAAACAAAACAGAGCAGAAAAAAAAAAGATTTGAACCGGCACAAACTAAAAATAATGATTCACATGTATGCTTTGATGTTTATAACTTCAGTCATATGAACAAAGTTTAGAACCATCAAAAGAAAGGGCTTTAAAGCAAGATGTCAGATGCATTCATGTGAAAGGAAATATTAGAGGGGTCAAGGAATTCCAAGGGATTTCCTAAGGTTTCATTCAAAGTGAGCAAATCTTACGAATGAAAGCAAATATACGTGTCCCAGAATAATGTTGCAGCATCTAATCTGGGTCAATCACCAGGACCAGAGGATTTGTCTTCTGAGCTTTCAGACTCATGCTGGAGCCCATCTTCAGGACACTTCTCTCTAGCAGACTGTGTTTATAGTGCATGTTGTACTGTAAGTGGCTTATTAGGTGTTGATTGGGGATGTGTGGGTGGCCATCTTTTAAGTCATTAGCTGCCCTTTGCTTGTGCTGCCTAGCCCTCACCTTCTAAGTACTTGATGGGCTGGTGGTAAATCAGCACTCCCGTTGACTGGTGAGGGGCCCGTTTCCCAAGCTTCAATCACTTTCCTGGCTGTTTTTGTGCCTGCCCATCCAACAATTTTAGTAGCTGCAAAACTGAATGTCCTTGTTCATTGCAGTGTGAGGCTACCAATGAGTTTGGGTCTCCTCGTCTGACCGCTGATCAAATGTTACGTCTTCTTATCTCAAACAATTTCTTTCCCAGAGATATAATTATTCAATTATTTAGGGGGTCCTATTGTGCTCTATTCAAAAGAAAATAACATATTTCTATCAATAATTTAAAATAAAATAAAATAAAACATGATCCAGAATTGTTCAGATTCAGCAGCCTTAACGGTAACTTTGTGCAAGGTTTTAAGGCCTTCTTTATTAAGAGAAAGGTAAAGTCTTTTATAAGTCTTTATCAAGAAAATAGGTAGGTTGTGGTATTGTTTTTCACATTTCTCCAGTACCGTATATGAAAGACGGCTTCATCACTACCATCTTGCACATGGATATTTTTTTTATCATTTAAAAAAAAGTCCTGCTTTTTTTAAAAATAAAAAGTCTTTTGAGTTTGATAGCGTACTATCTTTCCCAGAAGGATGTACTTTCTGAACTTAACAACATGGGCTGTAGGCTTATCTTTTCAGAGGTTCTACCGGTATACAAGGAACAAAAAGGGAAAGGGCAGCGTGTAGCAGAGTTTAATGTGTGGCTAAAGGAGTGGTGTAAAATGAAGGCTTTGGTTTTATTTGTCATGATGTCTGCAGCTGGTCCAATGAAAAACTGTTCAAAAGAGATGGTTTGCATCCATCAAAGAAAGGGACTGAGTTACTTGGCATTAAATTCACAGATTTCCTGGATAAACATTTAAACTGAACAGCGGGGACAGAGAATGAATGGGTTCAGAACATCTCTGTCCCCAGCAACCTAAAACTAATAAGGATACCAGTGCATGCAAAATAGATGTTTGTGCAGGTAAGATTATCAACCTTGATGCCAACCAAAACCAAGCATTTAATAGCGAGTGCCATACCAAGTGCATTAATCAAACAGGTGGCAAGAAAGTAGGGGCAGGCAGGCACAACACAGGTTATGGAGACAGTAAACACAGTGTCAGACATAAAGATCTCAAGTGCCTATATACAAATGCACAAAGTCTGGGGAACAAACAGGGTGAACTCGAACTACGAATACATGAAGGTAAATATGATATAGTTGGAATAACAGAAACTTGGTGGGATGAAACCCATGACTGGAACAGACTGGTAGAAGGATACAAACTATTCAAAAAGACCCCATAAAAGAGGAGGTGGAGTTGTACTGTATGTAAAGGACCACTATATTGCTACAGAAATGCATGAAACCAAAGATGAAAACCTCCTAGAATGCATATGGGTCAACATTAAAGAAAAAAAGAATGACATGGCCATAGGTATATATTATAGGCCACCCAATCAAGCAGAAAAAATAGATGTCCGTTTTGCCAGCCAACTAACAAACATATGGAGGAAACACACAACAATAGTAGTGGGAGACTTCAATTATCCTGATATCAATTGGAAAACTAATTCTGCACCAAGTGAGAAATCAAATAAGTTCCTAACCAACCTAGCTGACAACTTTGTTGTCCAAAAGGTAGAGGGTGAAACTAGAGGGACAGCCATACTGGACTTAATTCTTACAAACAGAGAAGAAGTGATAGAGGGAGTTGAAACTGCAGGAACTTTAGGTGAGAGTGACCATGTCATACTAGAATTCAACATAACACAAACACAAGCAACAGAACATAATGACACTAGAGTCTTGGATTATAAAAGAGCCGATTTCAATAAATTCAGAGAGAACTTGGGAAAGATTCCATGGATGAAAATCCTAAACAGGAAAACAACTCAAGAATCTTGGGTTGAAAAGTATGATCATAGAAGCCCAGACCAGCACAATACCACTGAGAAAGAAAAACAAGAAATCCAAGAAGAAACCAGCATGGCTGCACAAAGATCTCTGTGGCAAATTGAAAGAAAAAAAAGGACAAGTACAAAAAATGGAAAGAAGGACATATAACTAAGGCAGAATATCAGCAGATAGCCAGAATCTGCAAAGACAAAGTCAGGATAGCAAAGGCTCAGAACAAACAAAGACTTGCAACAAAAGTCAAAGATAACAAGAAAAGTTTC